AATTCTCATCTCTGATAAAATAGACTTTAAAGCAACAAAGATCAAAAGAGACAAAGAAGGCCATTACATAATGGTAAAAGGATCGATACAACAAGAAGAGCTAACGATCCTAAACATATATGGACCCAATGCAGGAGCACCCAGATACATAAGGCAAGTTCTTAATGACTTACAAAGAGACTTAGACTCCCACACAATAATAGTGGGAGACTTTAACACTCCACTGTCAATATTAGACAGATCAACCAGACAGAAAATCAACAAGGATATCCAGGGCTTGAACTCAGACCTGGAGCAAGCAAACCTGATAGACATTTACAGAACTCTCCACCCCAAATCCACAGAATATACATTCTTCTCAGCACCACATCACACCTACTCAAAAATTGACCACATAATTGGAAGTAAAGCACTGCTCAACAAATGCAAAACAACTGAAATCATAACAAACAGCCTCTCTGACCATAGTGCAATCAAGTTAGAACTCAGAATACAGAAACCAACCCAGAACCGCACAGCTTCATGGAAACTGAACAACTGGCTCTTGAATGTTGACTGGGTAAACAATGAAATGAAGTCAGAAATAAAGAAGTTCTTCGAAACCAATGAGAACGAAGACACAACATGCCGGAACCTCTGGGACACATTTAAAGCAGTCTCTAGAGGAAAGTATATAGCAATAAGTGCCCATATGAGGAGAATGGAGAGATCCAAAATTGACACCCTATCGTCAAAATTGAAAGAGCTAGAGGAGCAAGATCAAAAAAACTCAAAACCCAGCAGAAGACAAGAAATTACTAAGATCAGAGCTGAGCTGAAGGAGATTGAGACACGAAAAACCCTTCAAAAAATCAATAAATCCAAGAGCTGGTTTTTTGAAAAGATCAACAAAATAGATAGACCACTAGCCAGATTGATTAAAAATAGAAGAGAGAACAACCAAATAGATGGAATAAAAAATGATAAAGGGGAAATCACCACAGATTCCACAGAAATTCAAACCATCATCAGAGAATATTACAAACAACTCTATGCGCATAAACTAGTAAACCTGGAAGAAATGGATAAATTCCTGGACTCCTGTGTCCTCCCAAGCCTAAACCAGGAGGAAGCTGAAACTATGAAAAGACCAATAACAAGAAGTCGAGGCAGCAATTAAGAGCCTACCACACAAAAAAAGCCCAGGTCCAGACGGGTTCACAGCCAAATTCTACCAGACACACAAAGAGGAGCTGGTACCATTCCTTCTAAAACTATTTCAAACAATCCAAAAAGAGGGAATCCTTCCCAAATCATTTTATGAGACCAACATCATCCTGATACCAAAACCCGGCAGAGACCCAACAAGAAAAGAAAACTTCAGGCCAATATCCATGATGAACATAGATGCAAAAATCTTCAATAAAATATTGGCAAGCCGAATGCAACAGCAAATCAAAAAACTTATTCACCATGATCAAGTAGGATTCATCCCGGGGATGCAAGGCTGGTTCAACATACGCAAGTCTATAAACGTAATTCACCACATAAACAGAACCAAAAACAAAAACCACATGATTATCTCAATTGACGCAGAGAAGGCATTTGACAAAATTCAACAGCCCTTTATGCTAAAAACCCTCAATAAACTTGGTATTGATGGAACGTATCTCAAAGTAATAAAAGCTATTTATGACAAACCAACAGCCAATATCATACTGAATGGGCAAAAACTGGAAGCATTCCCTTTGAAATCTGGCACTAGACAAGGATGCCCTCTTTCACCACTCCTATTCAATATAGTTCTGGAAGTTCTAGCCAGAGAAATCAAGCAAGAAAAAGAAATAAAGGGTATTCAAATAGGAAAGGTGGAAGCCGAATTGTCTCTATTTGCAGACGACATAATAGTATACCTAGAAGACCCCATCACCTCAGCCCAAAAACTCCTGAAACTGATAAGCAACTTCAGCAAAGTCTCAGGATATAAAATCAATGTGCAAAAATCACAAGCCTTCGTCTACACCGATAACAGACTTAAAGAAAGCCAAATCAAGAACGAACTGCCATTCACAATTGCTACAAAAAGAATAAAATACCTTGGAATACAACTCACAAGGAACGTAAGGGACCTCTTCAAGGAGAACTACAAACCACTGCTCAACGAAATCAGAGAGGACACAAACAGATGGAGAAACATTCCATGTTCATGGTTAGGAAGAATTAATATCGTGAAAATGGCTATACTGCCCAAAGTAATTTACAGAATCAATGCTATCCCCATCAAGCTACCATTGACTTTCTTCACAGAACTGGAAAAAACCACCATGAACTTCATATGGAACCAAAAGAGAGCCCGCATAGCCAAGTCAATTCTAAGCAAAAAGAACACAGCAGGGGGCATCACACTACCGGATTTCAAAGTATACTTCAAGGCTACAGTAATCAAAACAGCATAGTACTGGTACCAAAACAGAGATATAGACCAATGGAACAAAACAGAGGCACCGGAGGCAACACAACTTATCTACAACTATACAATCTTTGATAAACCTGACAAAAACAAGCAAGGGGGAAAGGATTCCCTGTTTAACAAATGGTGTTGGGAAAACTGGCTAGCCATGTGCAGAAAGCAGAAACTGGACCCCTTCCTGACACCTTACACTAAAATTATCTCCAGATGGATTAAAGACTTAAACATAAGACCTGGCACCATAAAAACCCTAGAAGGAAATCTAGGCAAAACTATCCAGGACATAGGAGTAGGCAAGGACTTCATGAACAAAACACCAAAAGCATTGGCAACAAAAGCCAAAATAGACAAATGGGACCTAATGAAACTCCACAGCTTCTGCACGGCAAAAGAAACAGTCACTAGAGTGGATCGGCAACCAACAGAATGGGAAAAAATTTTTGCAGTTTACCCATCTGACAAAGGGCTGATATCCAGAATTTACAAAGAACTCAAACAGATTTACAGGAAAAAACCAAACATGCCCATTCAAAAGTGGGCAAAGGATATGAACAGACACTTTACGAAAGAAGACATATATGAGGCCAACAATCATATGAAAAAATGCTCATCGTCACTGGTCATTAGAGAGATGCAAATCAAAACCACATTGAGATACCATCTCACGCCAGTTACAATGGCGATCATTAAAAAATCTGGAGACAACAGATGCTGGAGAGGATGTGGAGAAAAAGGAACACTTTTACACTGTTGGTGAGAGTGTAAATTAGTTCAACCATTGTGGAAGACAGTGTGGCGATTCCTCAAGGCCTTAGAAATAGAAATTCCATTTGCCCCAGCAATCCCATTACTGGGTATATATCCAAAAGACTATAAATCGTTCTACTATAAGGACACATGTACACGAATGTTCATTGCAGCACTGTTTACAATAGCAAAGACCTGGAATCAACCCAAATGCCCATTGATAATAGACTGGATTGGAAAAATGTGGCACATATACACCATGGAATATTATGCAGCAGTCAGAAATGATGAGTTTGTGTCGTTTGTAGGGACATGGATGAATCTGGAGAACGTCACCCTCAGCAAACTGACACAAGAACAGAAAATGAAACACCGCATATTCTCACTCATAGGTGGGTGATGAAAAATGAGAACACATGGACACAGAAAGCGGAGTACTAAACACTGGGGTCTATTGGGGGAAAAGGGGAGGGCCAGTGGGAGGGGGAGGTGGGGAGGGATAGCCTGGGGAGAAATGCCAAATGTGGATGAAGGGGAGAAGGAAAGAAAAGCATACTGCCATGTGTGTTCCTACGCAACTGTCTTACATGCTCTGCTCATGTACCCCAAAACCTAAAATCCAATAAAAAATTAAAAAAAAAAAAAATACAGTAACCCATCCCAAGGCAATGTGGACCGGATTATAGAACCAGGTGCACCCTTGGCTCTTACGCTTCTCGCTTGGTTCATGTCCTGACATCCAAATAGCACCATAGTCCTTATTTATTGAGAAGTCCCATTTTCTGGATGCTCCTTTGAAATTTGAGGATCCTTTCCACATAAATTGACCCTAATGTTTGCTGAATTCGAAGCAACTTTAAGTTAAATGCCCAATATAACTTATGGGGAGAAAGCAAACGGGTGGGTGGCAGTGAGGGGCCAGATGGGTCCCCTGTACAACCACCCGTGTGTGAGCAGCGACTATGCATGCAGCTGAGATCCAGCAGTCTAACATCAAGAGGAAACTGCCTTGCTCACTCTTGACAACAGTATGTTTTAACAGAACATTTAGGAGTATTTTTGTGAATTTCTGCACACCTTGAGCTAGCTTATAAAGATAGAATAAGCCGTGCACATACAAAAAGAAGGTAAGGCAACAGAGGTAAAAACTGACAGCAGCAGAAAAGAATTTCAAACTAAGTGAGAATCAGTTTTCAAGCCAGGCAGATCTCCATTTGACACATGGCCCCACCACTCAGTACCAGCGTGATTAGGAATCAACAACTGCACCTCTTTAAAGCCTCATTTTCTTCACTTGTAAAATGAAGATGATAACAATATACCTGCTCTCAGGGCTGCTATGAGGATTATCTGTTCTTATTGTTTGGCCCATGATATAAACATGGCATCAAAAGGTGTCTTAAATATACTCTCACGACATCACTCTTGGTGATTGCACAGTATTCCACTGTGCCATGTATTTTAAATTATTAAATGAACCCCCTCTTGTTGAAATCTAGGCTGTGTTAAATGCATTGATATTTTCAATAACACTGTGATATTTAGACATTCATTTTCAGACACTTATATATTTTTCAGATCAATGTCTAGAAGTAGAATTGTGGAATCAAAGGGAAGATATATATTGCCAAATCATCCTCCAGAAATGTCATACCACCTTGCTCTCCTACTAGCACTACAATCACTTAAGAATAATTTTTAGCTACCTTGCTTCCTGAAATGGGCCTTGGACATCTCTGGATACCGTTTGTTTTGATTTTTTTAAACTGTGCTTTCACAACCACCAGAATTCCACTGGTCTCACCTCTCAGCTGCTGCAGTGGCTGCAGCATTCATGGCAAAGTGTCGGATGGTGCTCTCCTCCAAGTACTTCTGTTCCCACTTCGTCATGTCGGCCTCCAAGGCCAGGATCCGCTCCTCCTTCTCCCGCACAAGTTCCAGGAGGGCTGGGGCATTGTATTCTGGCATGTTGGCTGGCTGGCCATTTCCATGTTTCTGAAGGAGTGGAAAAAACATCTTGATGCTCAAAACTACATCAATGCTGTCTGCACGACTGCCCATACAGAACACATGAGGTTCCCTAGATCCTGCACAATTCACACAACATGCTACTTCACCTCCAAATTCCTCTATTGTAGTTAATTCTCATGGAGCTCTGAAACACAGACAATACCGTCCCAGTTTTACAGATGAGAAATGGAGTTGCTGAGGGATTAAATTAATGATGCAGTGTCTCTCAGCTAATCAGCAGTAGGGTCAGGATTCAAACCTGGGTCTATCTCCACAGGTCAAGGCCTTTGCATACAAGTGGCTTATCTAATGGTGTGCAGTTAATTACACCAAAAGAATAGGAATTATGTCTTGACCTCCTGGTCTAGGGTACTTTCTTGAGAATTCCATGAAGCGATTCCAGCTGTTTATTTCCTGTAAGGCTGGCGGGGGAAATGGAAGGCAAAGGAAGTGGGAGATGCCCTAACCTACATGCTTGCTGACTGCAATGCAGGGAAGGGAGATATTTATAACTGCTCCACTCAGAGGACTGAGAATGAGAATCAAACTAGATAATGTATATGAAAGCAGAAGACCTCTAGCAAAAGGCAAGCTTGTTTTTCAGCTCTTTCTTTCTATCTGTGTTAATAAGAGAAAATAAAGCCATTTTCTGGATTGATCACGAACTGAGGATGTTAATACCTCATAATCGTTTTCTTTTAATTAGGTACACTATTTCCTCTAAAGAGCATGACATAGAAGAAGATGGTGTTCTAAGAGAGTTCTGCCTTCGGAGCAGCAGCAGAGATAGATCACCTCGGGGTCTCAGGGTTAGAGGCCCAGTCAGAGTGTGGACCAGGCTCCCTAGTACTCCAGGGAGAATGATTTCATCGCAGCTAGTCTATGTCCTGGGGTACACATTCCCCTCATGTTTTCCAGTGGTTGCAAATGTAAAATGCAGAGCTGGATGCAAGGTGAGAGGTATGTGAATGCTTTATCCAGAACCACATAATCCCCTAGATTAAGAAACAGACTGGGGAATTAGCCAGAGCAACAGCTGGGCATTTGTGCCGTACTGATGGAATCTAATCCTATCAGAGAGGAAAAAATAAATGGGCCTATGAGTTTTTTGTAAACCAAATTTTGTTTCTATTCAATTTTTTAAAGCTACAAATATAAATTATTCTAGGAAGCAGTATCTTGCCAGTGACCAACATTCTAAGTAGGAAAAGAGCAGTAGGGCATACCTGTCCTCACCTGACCTGTGCAGAAGGGGCACTAACTCCATCTGGCCAGGCACCTAGACTCAGGCAGGAGAACAAATGAACCAGTCCAGTGAGATGAGAGGCTCCTTTATTTTTAGAAACTTTCCAAGAAAAAGCTCCCATGGCCTCACTAAACTGCCATCTCTGCTTGTCAGTTTCTATCTAAATCCCTTCTGTTACCATCTCAGCTGGCTTATTGTTACAGAATCCTTTTAACCTCACATGAGATCATGACAACTCTTTATAGCGCCCCCCTCAATTCAGGTCATTAAGAGTTATTTATATAAATGCATGAATGTCAACATTCAAGGGTACAGAGTTAGCTTGGTCTAATGGGTAAGTATGCTACTGAGAAACAGATTAACAGTCAAGTGGGATTCAGCTAGCTAGACAGCAAGTATTGACTGAGTATCTACCATGTGCCAGGGATGCAACAGTGAACACTACAGATTAAATCTTTGTCCTCAATGTGTTCTCATGGGAGGAATGTCCTCATTAGCTATATGACCTTGGGCTGGTCCCTTTAGTGTGTTCTCATGGGAGGAATGTCCTCATTAGCTATATGACCTTGGGCTGGTCCCTTGGGCTGTGCCTCATTTTCCTTTCAAAGAACATTCTTCAGGAAGCTTCTCTCTTCATACTCATAGGACTACTGTGGAAGTAAGATGTGAAACTTAATTGGAGCTCTTTGTAAAGGAGATAAAATTGTGAGTTCTTAAAAATGTAAATTCCCAGGCCAGGTGCGATGGCTCACGCCTGTAATCCCAGAACGTTGGGAGGCTGAAGCGGGCGGATCACGAGGTCAAGAGATCGAGACCATCTTGGCCAACATAGTGAAACCCCGTCTCTACTAAAATACAAAAATTAGCCGGGTGTGGTGGTGCGCACCTGCAATCCCAGCTATTTGGGAGGCTGAGGCAGGAGAATTGCTTGAAGCTGGGAGGCGGAGGTTGCAGTGAGCCAAGATTGCACCACTGCACTCCAGCCTGGTGCCTGGAGAAAGAGCAAAAGTGTCTCAAAAAAAAAAAAAAAAAAAGTAAATTCCCTTGTCTCTTTTATCTTTTTTCTCTTTCACTTCCCTCCCAGTTTCTGATGATGCTGAAGTACTCTTTGACCTCCCACGGTAGAGCAGCAATTACTTATAAAACAGGAGCTGTTGATTAAGAGCTTTTCTCTCTGCTAGTTCTATTGTCCTAACCTATCTTTCTCTCTCCACCTGCCTTCAATAAGCCACATTTCTGTTGACATTGTTTTCAATGAGGCTGGAAAATGTGGGGTAAGGGTGGAATTTGGGAGAGGGCACCACAAATACCCTAAGACTTCAAATGACTCTGAAGGTAGTGATGGCAATGAAGACAGCAGTGAGAGAGATTTGTGGTTTTTTTTGTTTTTTTTTTGTTTTTTTTTTGAGATGGAGTCTTACTCTGTTGCCAGGCTGGAGTGCAGTGGTGCAATCTCAGCTGACTGCAACCTCCGACTCCCTGGTTCAAGTTATTCTCCTGTCTCAGCCTCCCAAGTAGGTGTGATTACAGGCGCGTGCCAAACGCCCGGCTAATTTTTATATTTTTAGTAGAGGCGGGGTTTCACCATGGCCAGGATGGTCTCAATCTCTTGACCTCATGATCCGCCCGCCTCAGCCTCCCAAAGTGCTGGGATTACAGGTGTGAGCCACCGTGCCCGGCCAAGAGATTTGTTTTTAATCAATTGCTAAGCACAAGGCATTCTGAGAAGTACTTTGCTTAGATTTTATTTGTAGTTACAAGTAAATATAATTTATTTGTAAGTATAATTTATTTGCCTTTCTTTATAGACAAGGAGGTTGAGGCTCAGAAAAATGACTTACTCTAGGCTACTTTTCTGGTGGAGGCAGGATTTGACTGTGGTTGGTTTAACCCTGGGGCCCATGCTCTGAATCAACACACGATTCCATGCCTCTCTGCCCATCCTCAGTGTACTAGCCCTTCTGGAAAGCTCCAGAAGAAATAACTGGAGCTCCCTCAAGGGCTCTGTGTTGTTAGAGGGGGTCAAGTAGACAGGCTCAGCTGTGTCCTGGCATCAGTCAGAGGGCAGAGCCCTTATTTGGGCTTTGGATTCAACAAGAACTCTAAGCTGCACTCTTTAGAGTCTCCTCAGAATAACATCCTATGGGAGGTGGCGAGTCCATGCAGTTGGTCTATTGTCCTGTTGACGGTGGAGATGACCAGGGGGTCTGTGACAGTGTGACCCCAGCATGCTTTCTAAAGCTGGCAGATAACTACCTCAGACACAGGGACGAAGGAACAGGGTGTGGCGTGGAAGGTGTCTTTCCCGAGGCTGCTGCCCAAGAACTGGCAGGCACATTCATGAGCTGCCTGAGGGTGAATGAGGAGGAGGGAATCAGAGAGGCCCTGGATCATCTTTCCTGGACAGGCTGAGTTCCTCAGATGACCCCAGGTTCTCAAGTGAACCCCGAGTCATCCCTGGTGAGGCCAGCAGAGCTGCCCCCCAGACCAGCCCACAGGTATCAAATATGAGTTTAGACAAACTTTGCCCTTTTAATAGTATCTGCCACATGGAACTAGTAAAAAACTCAAGATGCTTCCAGTGGAGTTTTTTTTTTTTGTAATAACATTTTAACCTTTTTGGTTATAAGATAATGCATGCCTACTGGGAAAATTAGAAAATAAAGTAGTATTACAGGAAAAAAATTAAAAAAATAATACAGGTTGAGCATCCTGAACCTGAAAATACAAAATACAAAACACTCTAGTCTCAAGCATTTCAGATAAGGGATACTCAACCTGTATTTATCTTTTTAATAAATATCAAGAACAACAGGAAAATAATCCCTGAATGTATATCATAGGAGGCAGACTAATGCTCTCATTAGAAACAAACAAGCAAGCAAACTGTAATGTTATTTTTAGAGAGATGCTAGCATCACAGTTCTGTTTAGAGACTGTCTCCTCATCTTCGATCCCACACCAGCCATACACAACTGGGGGTCTGCCATCAGCTCCCAAGCACAAATTCAAAATGCAGGCAGAGTAATTTCCCAGGAGAGCCTCAATCCTGAAATTTCTGTCCTCTACTGGCACTCCTCAGCCTGTCAGCAGCCTTCATGCACAGCAGGAATGTTGTTGTTGCCTGTCTGAGGAAACTGTGTGGGTGAGCCTACATGGGACTGAATGTGCATATAATCAACTATACTCTGTGGCAATTAAGGTATTTTTCAAATAATTCTAACATCATGTTTCTTGTTCTTCATAAATGACAGGAATAATGGGGGTGAGTCTGGTTTCATAGCACTCAGAAGAGCGAAGGGTAAGTAATCTAACTGTAGGGTATGGACAGCATATTAACCAGGAAAGAACATTCTTTCTGTGCTCTAAGAACCAAGATTTGCCTATCTGGTCAGCCAAAGAAAGACCCATCCGTGTCTACTGTGAGCCAGTGCTGTATCTGGAACCAGGGAGAACGCCTGTCTTCAAGTTGGGGAAGCGACGGTCTCAGCAACTGAGCAACAGAGAACAGCTGAAGGGTGTATCTGTGCCAAAGTGTGTGGCACAGGTTATAAGTATTAGATGTCCACAGACAAACCTGCCTTTTCTTACAAGCTATCCACCAAGCCAAGGCTGGGAGGCAGCGGTGGGTTTCTTAGTTTTCTGGGCAATCTCACTAACACCTCTTTCTCCAGCCAAGTGCACACACCTAGAGGAACTGCATGGGCCCGCCCTGCGAGAGGGCTGAGCTGGCCTGAGTGCACGTGCACAAGTGTTTTCAAGTGTTTCAACCACAGCCACTATGTCCTATCCAGTAGATAATTCCATGGGGCCCTGCCTTGCATTTCCCTGGTATCCCAATTTAGAGCATACCCCTCACCAGCTGCATAATACAGGTCTCTGCTCATCATGCTGGCTGAGGTGGACAGGCTCGTCTGGGGTCAGGAGCCTTTGACCAGTCTTCTTCCTGCCTACCGTGCTGCAGGTGAACCCCAGGCTGGGCGTTTCACTCTGCTTACTCCTAGCTGAGTATCATGCTAAGCTGTCACCAGCAGAAAAAAAGAGGCAGCAGGAATAGGAACTTGTGGTTTATATCATTTCTAGGGATGGTCTTAAATTCCTTCTTCTCCTTTACTTCTGAAAACTCACAGATCATCATGCCCTACTAATGTCACCCCATTATTGGCTCTCTCCTTCAACTCCACGGGGTCTTACTGTCACTACACCCTAGGCTGTACCGACAACCTTCAGGCTGGCCTCTGCAACTTTAACATTCACCCTCTGGATGGTCCTCTGACATCAGAGGGCTCTCTTGCTGATCTCTCGCACCATATTTCTCTCCAGCTTAAAAACCTCCCGGTTGTTGGCACTCTGTTGACTGCAGGGAAAAGCCCAGTCTCTCAGCTTGACCAAATGCCCTCCACAAGTGGCCTTGGTCTCCTCACCAGCCACTGAACTCGGCATTCTCCCCTAGCTACCTGTACCCCGCTGCCCTGGACCTGCCATGCCATTTCATGGCCCTGTCCTTTACACATCCTCTCTTTCTACCTCTGATGTTCTTGCCCTTGAATGCCCAACAAACTCATCTTTCAATGTCCAGCTCAAATGTCCTCCTCTCTGAAGTCATCTAATGCTGGATTCCCCTCTCCCCAGCCCCAAGCTGGTGACCACTTTCTCTCTGTGAGGATGTATGTCACTCCAGTGAGTGGACTGTTCGCCTCCTCTCCTGGTCGCTATATGGGTTCACTGAGGACAGGGAGTTCTTGTTTGCCTCTGAATCCTGAGAGCAAGGTGCAGCAGCTGGCCCGCAGTGGATGTTCCATACATTTGCTGAGTGAACATATCCAATTCCTCCACCAGCCCATGCCCAGTTCCTTACCTGCTGGGTTCTCAGCGCGTCCAGCTCTCTCTCCAACCAAGTCCGCAGTCTCCGCTCCATCTGCTCTCGCTTCTCACATGCAGACTGCAGCTGGGTCAGGGCCTGCTGCAGCTTCTCAACTTTTTCAACATATGCTTGCTTCTCTCGTAACTGAGTGCAGGAAAATAAAAAAGAGCACAGAATTTAGACCAGTGATTCTCAAAGCTGGGATGGAGGAGGTGGAGTCAGATTACCTAGAGAACCTATTTAAACTACAGGTGCATGTACCTCCCACCTCCCTAGTCCTATCTTCCAAGTGCACTGGAACAGAAAAGATTTACACCTAGGCTGCCATTTATACCTATGATGGCTAGGATGTTTGGAACTGAAGACCCTACTCGGGCACCTGCTTTTGGTAACTTATGCAGCTTTGAGTTCGATGCTTGGTTATTGCTTAATAATTTCTGCATTTTCAGGCATTGGAAGTGAGGCTATAAAGAGCTTTTGCACATATGTTTATTGCAGCATTCTTTACAATAGAAAAGACATGGAAGCAACCCAAATGCCCATCAACAATAGACTGGATAAAGAAAATGTGGTACATATACACCATGGAATACTATGCAGCCATAAAAAGGAATGAGATCATGTCCTTTGTAGGGATGTGGATGAAACTGGAAGCCATCATTTTCAGCAAACCAACACAGGAAAAGAAAAACAAACATTCCACATATTCTCACTCATAGGTGAGAGTTGAACAATGAGAACACATAGCACAGGGAGGGGAACATCACATACAGGGGCAAGTTGGGGGGTGGGGATAAGGGGAGGGAGAGCATTAAGACAAATAGCTAATGCATTTGGAGCTTAAAACCTAGATGACAGATTGATAGGTGCAGCAAACCACCATGGCACACGTTTCTACATAACAAACCTACATGTTCTGCACTTGTATCCTGGAACTTAAAGTAAAAATTAAAAATAAAATAAATCAAATTTTTTAAAAAAGAGTTTTTGTTACCATGAAGAAATTCTTATTCCATAAGTCAAGTGAAAAATCCAGAATCAAAAATTATATACAACATTATCATAACAATGTCGTCTGTTTATCTATCCAGGAAAGAAAGGCAGGAATGAAATAATTAGAGCATTAAGCATGCTTATCTATATAAAAGAATGGCAATTTCCTCTTTATTCTTTTCTATATTTTTTAAGTTTTCTACAATAAGCATCAATTACATTTATAATAGAGAAATTAGGTATATATGTATATATGTATGTGTACTTTATGTATGTGTGAATAAATAAAAAACTTTCTTATTATAGATCTCTATGGAGTAACTTTGTCATAAAGATTTCAGAGTCCTTTATAGATTGGTAGCTGGCAGCCTTGAAGAGATGGGAAGTGCACAGTGAATATTTAACAACACAATAACTGAGGAGATGGAAATTAAGGTTAAAATGATCTATGTAAATGTCACATCAGGTATGGATTTAGAATTATGACCAACAACTTCCAATTCTTACTCTCAGAAGTTGTGTTCTTTTAATTAGGAGTTTGGCCCATGTTCATAAATCCTGGGCATATTGACAGCATTCTGAGAACTAGCTGGTGCCAAAAAGCAGGCTTAATCATAGAATTGATTTGGTCCTGAGTGAGAAGACACCCAATGCTATTTCCTGTCATTCTGCACCTGGGGGTATTCAATCCTGAGTTCAGTGATGACACTGGCAAGTTGGAACATGCTAGTGATTTCAGAACTTGCAGCTAGGTGAGCTTTCTGACTCAGCAGGCAGCACCGCCATGAGTTATGCCTATATCCTATCTTGGCTGACACTGGAATAAAATGGAGATGCTCGAACCTTTCAAGGACGAGACAGCAACTTTACACTTTTTTACACCTGTTCTTGGGATCCATTTTCATCTGGCCCTTTCGTTCCTTGTGTTTTTGATTGCCCAATTCCACAGGCTTCTGAAGACCTACTAAGTGAAGGTTCCTGCAGCCTCATCTGACAAAACATTTTGTGTGTACAATTCATACACCACTTACCATATCTTCCACTATATATACTTTTCTGAATGTGTAGCCACTAGAATATAAGCACCAAAAGATTTGCTGCTTTTGGTCTCTGCTGGGCAGTGAACAGGGTGTACCAAATGCCTGGAACAGTGCTTAGCACTTAGTAGACACCCAATAGGTATTTGTTAAATGAATAACTATTATCCCTAATCAATTGCAAGAAACTTGACGGCAGGAATCTGTCTCCTTTACCTTTGTATCAACCTTAATTCTAGCAAGGCATATATCCTGTTGAGGATGATTAACAACAGTAATTACATCAGCCAACATTCCTGGAGCACTACCATGGTTCAAGCATTGTGCTTTATATGTAGTACCTCATTTAATCCTCCAAATAACAATAGTAAGAGGTGGTAAAGTCCTTTATTATCTCCATTAGAGATGAGGAAAGTCTTCCAGGTTACGTGACTTGCTTAAGGTCACACAGCTGATAGGCCATAGAGACAGGATTCTCATTTACAGCAGTCTGCTCTAGAGTTCACTCTTATCCACCGTGGTAAATTACAATAGGATCTCAATATCTGACTGAATTAAGTCCCTTAAAGGACACTCTAGTTAGAAAGGAGTGATGCTGGAAGCAGACATTCTAGAGAGGCTACATTCAACCAACCAAAGATTTCATATTAATATAAGAATAAAAAAAGACCTATAATGGTGGTTATACCTTGTTTTCAAGAAGCACAACTAATTTTTACTTTAATAGAAATGTTAAAACTAGAAGATTTTTTAAACCACAAGTTTCCTTAGCTCCACTCATGGAGATGGAGATGTCATTTCAGTGATGACAATAATGAGACGCCCCAGCCTCCATTAAGCATAACAGATCTCCTGTCTTTAAGGAGTGAGGTCACTTTCTGTGGCAAATGGTTTCATATTTAATACGTTCCTTAGTGGCAACATAGAAGATACCATGGGGGCTGCTGCCCTGGATCCTTATGCTAGCATTAAAATGGTAGTTTCTATACAAGACTTGTGGGGTTTTAAAGGCTTCCAATGGGCAAGACCCTCATTTACTCCATCATGTTCCACTTCAGCTGATTTATCCTTGTGTTTGAAATTTGATGAAACATCCCTGTTACATGCATCAGGGGAGGTTTTCTGACAGTCTTTTCTATTCAACAGCAGTTGGGTTAGTAACAATACTGTTTCCTGTGTGCCCAGCAACGAGCTAAGCACTTCAAGCAGACTTTCTCAGTTAAGACTCTTCCAGTGTTTGGGCTTCTGCTTCCTAGAATGGATCCTGCTCAGGTCAGCCTGTGAAACACAAGCACTTGCCACCACCACCACAAGGTGCTGGAAGGTGTGAGGCAGCAGGCCCCTAGGCCTCTGCTCCTTTTCTTCTTCTTCATCTATAACCCGTATTCCTTGGCTTGGACCTTGGAAATGGTCATTTTAATTCTTCAGTCAGGCTTCAAGAAAAAGCCTACTACCTCACAACACTTATGCTAAAGGGTTGATTTCATCGGAAACTACTAAATGCATGATGACTAAATAGGACACGTGTTAACCGATGGGCTGTAGGCTGGGCTTCACACCGAGTGTGAGGGCTTTGCTGACGGGATTCTTGTGCTTTTCCTACTTTGCCTGGCTGTAGAATGCATAAACTCTTGTTTTTAATCACTTTTTTTTTGAGAAGTTTCCCACGTGCCTCCCTTGTCTCAACTTCTTAGAATTGGCTCTGGTTAAAGTAGCCGGGTTAGGAGAAGAAAGTGAAAGCCCTCACGGCTCTGCTTCCCCTCTCCCTCCCCCAAACCCCACAGCCTGGTCTCACCTCCTCTTCCAGCTTGATGACTCTGGCCTGGGCATTGCTCAAAGCCTGGTCCAGGATCTCAATGTGTCTCCGATGGTCCTCACTTGCAGTCCGCACTGCTGCTAATTCCATTTGTAATTTCTCCTTTTCCTGCAAGAATTCTTTGTCTAGAAGGGAAACAAGAACAAAACTACCTGTATCAGAAATTGCTCACCCTCTAGGCTCACAGCCAGTCTACATCTGGCAAGAATTAAAAATAAAAAAGCAGGCAAACAGTGGAGGACTGAATTGCTGTTTCTGCTGCCTTTTAATAGTGGTAGTAAGACAGTAATGGTTTTCTCAAAAACCACTGTCAATGGTAGATACATTCCAGGCCACACTTGGGAACAGTACACAAAGAACTACTGACCGCATATCCTCCACAACTCACTTCTCTACAACACTGGCTTTCATACTTCAAATTAATCTTGTATCTACTATTACTTTTTATGCTTCCAAACTTCCCTGCTTCAATCTTCCAAATCTGTGATGAAAGCGTAGGTAATATTAATAATAATATTAACATTCTCATTCATAGAAAAATAAACCAAGGTCCCAACAGGTACACTCTTTGCTGAGGCTAGACAGCAGAGAGGGAGCTGAAGAAGAGGACACTGCCTCTTCTCCCTTTCTGTGGCATTTGAAATGGTGCCTCTGAAACTTCCTTCCCAATCCATGGAAAACAGGCATGTGAGAGACCTAAACAAAGGGGTCAGTAGCAGCCCACTAGCGCTGCCCGCACCCATCCATAGCCCTGATGGGACCAAAGCATTTTGTACTTTCTATGCAAAGTCAGTGATATTTGAGCACCCAACTCTAGGTTTGGACAACATCTCAATGGGCACGGTGCCTACTGGCCTTGTCCAAGCTCTGGATGGCACTCAGGTATTACTAAGCAGGCAACCTGGAAATGAACCCCAGGATCTCAGAGCTTCTACCTGGTTATCAACCTAAGCATAAAAGTTTTTCTCTTTGTTAAGGGCCACCAAGTAAACACTGATGTTGACCAGAAGCAATAAAATGATAATCTGAGCACAAGAACAGAAGCCACAGCCTAAGCTTCTCATGTTCTGCAAATCTGTGATCACTATTTTTGCTATGTCACAATGATGGCTATTTAGATAGAGTCCTGAGTTAAGAAACACCCATCCCCTCCCCTCCAACACCTCCCCACAAATACATACATGATCTCAGCATTTGCTACTTGCTTGATAAGCAGTATCATATTGTAGCTAAAGAAAGGATTTTAGCATGAGAAAGACCTGGATTCAAATCCTAGGCCAACTGTTTTCCAATTTTGAGGTCTCAGGTGAGATATTTAATCTCTCTGTGCCTCAGCTCCCTCACCTATCAAATGGCAATGGTAACATCTACATCACAGTGTTGTTATGATGATGCTGTTGATGAAGATGATGCTTATAAAGCATAAAGTGACCTGAGCATTCAGGACTTTGTTTTGGTTATTATTGATTCCCTGAGCCAATAAGAGCACTGGACTCAAAAATACTGGTGAACGAATGAATGAGTCTTTCTTATGTGCCAAGTTCAATGTCCACTGAATAATACATCATAGCTCCTCTTAGCTATTAGGTATTCAGTATCCTTGTGATCTCCTAACACTCTTTGTTATACAGCTGTCCTCTCGACCTTTGAATTCACTGCTTGCTTACAAGCCACTATGCATCAGATAGCCAGTACTGACCATGGATACCACTGGTTCCTTCCTCTGCCCAGGCTCCCTAAACCCCATAGTGTATACTACAAAGATGTGGAGACTGGACAAAAGCTACATTAGTTCCTGGAGTGTTTAGCAGACCTCTGAAATTCATGGGTCAAACATCTCTGTACTGAATTTGGTGACTTTAGACTTCAAGCTCCAGAAATAATCATTTAGTATCACTCAAACTGGTTCAGAACTCCTTGTCCACTGATAGGAAGTAGTTCTGTCAATTATAAAGTTTTAAAAACAATGTTCATGATAGTAGTAATAATAATATCTTTCCATGTTTGTTGAATAAGTACTGTGTTCCAGGAATGATTGCTTATAGTAGTCCTTTTATTCTAAGTTTACTATATGAGGTAGGCACCATAATTCTTATTTTCCAGCTGAGGAAAATGCCACTAAAAAAAAGGGTAAGTAACTTGCCACAGAGGTGATAATCATCAATGGTAGAAACATAAGTTGCATTTATATCTAATGTGTATTCATAAACATGTCCCTGGACTACCCCTCCTTTGTAAGCATGCATAAGTATAGAAGAGCCCCATGATAACATAGCTTGTTATTGCACAGATTTAAGTTATGTCACAGGTCATATATCACTGAAAACACCGCAATAATGTTCACATATGTAACCATTTACAAATAACTAATGAAGCATCTACCACACAGAGGCATCACAGTACTGGTTAAAAGCATGGGGCTAGAATCAAACTGCCTGGGTTCATACCCAGCTCTTCCACTTATGGTTCTGTGACTCAGGTAGTAAACAAACCCCTTTGTGCTTCAGCTTCTTTGCCTTTAAAGTAAGCATCACAATAGTACCTATTTCAAAAGGCATATAGTAAGTTCCCAATGAACGTCAACTTCAATAACACTGTGGTTATTATTGTTGTTACAGGAAGTATGATAAATTCTGGGGCTACGAGGTGAGCAGGATGTAGCATTCTGCACTTGAACTAGTGGGAAAAGATGCAAGGACATGGGCAAAGCCAATGTGAAAAGGTGCTCTAACAGGTGCATGCACAGGGTACTATGAGAACATAGAAGGACATCTAATTCAGGGCAGGGAGTGAAGAAGACGGGGTATCAAGGCAGTAAGCCTACAAGGTGGGCTAGCTATGCTCTCCAACTCTTGGAGACATGGGGACTCTGAAGTGTATCAGACTCACTCAAAGAAGTCATCCTTCGGGAGATATCAAGGAAGAGTTCCATGGTGAAACCACCTCATAGGAAGGTCCTTTGGTTTATTATTAGCTATACCTTTTAGGGTGAATATCCAGAAAGATAAGTCTCATGATGAATTTTTGGTAGGGCTCCAATATATATACTGAGAATTCCTAGAACAGGCAAGTTGACACAAGGGAATTCTTGCCCAGAATGGTCTGTTTACTCAGTGGATATGAATTATCCTGAACTGTGTGGAGTAGGGAGCTGTTTGGCCTGATGGCTCTGATCCCATTTACACAGAAGGATGTCTGCTCATACACTGTTTACTCTTGAAACCACAGTGATGGCACAGGCTTTGTGGCCAGGCCGACCTGGTTTGATTCTGGCACCTTCACATAGCAGTTCACCTTGGCCACATGGCTTTACATCTCTGAGACTCCATCACCTCAAGTGAAACTCTTAAGATCTATTTTGCAGAACTGCAGGTGAGGGTTAAAATAAGTATCAGTAAAATGCCTAACACAGGACTTGGCACATAATACTTGATAAGTAACAACAAGAGCTAACATATATTCCTGGGGACTTACCATGTCCCAGCCACTGTTCCAAGAACTTTACCACCTGTAATCCTCACATAAGCTCCATCTGACAAATAGAAAACTGAAGCCAAACAAGCTATGACACCTGTACAATGTCGAATGGTGGTCCCATTTGTGTCTCTACCCATAGGTTAGTCTCCCTTGCTTGAGGAAAGAACACAAGTAGGGGAAAGTAGAAACAGGCCCAATAATTCAAAGATGTCCTCTTTCGGTCTTACCCTTCTCCTTTGCCAGTTCTGGGTAAGGTTCCAAGTGGATACTCTGCTGAAACTGTTTCTGTGATTACTCTCTGAGCACTAAGCTTAATTGTCAGCTGAACCACGAGACAAAAGACCCTGTTCTACCATCTTAGCAACTTCTGTTAAGAAATACTGAGGGTGGATGTGTGCATAAGGTCAGAGCTCTATGTGCTGGTCTGCAGCTTTAAATTCAGTGCTCCCACTTAATGGCTGGGGCTTCTGAGGACAGCAAACCTGTTATCCAGAACTTCCTATACAGAAATTCATTTCTAGCGCTTTCTGATAAAATGGATTTTTGAGAAGTTTTCCCCTACCTCATGTAGCTAGAGAGATAAAGAAGTCCAGCTATTGCATGCTTGATCAAGGAGTGTCTGAGTCACTGGAGTGCTTGGTGGTAAAAGATGGGTATTTGCTATGGTTCAAATGTGGTCCCCCAAATTTCTTGTGTTAGAAACTTAATCCCCATTGTAACAGTATTAAGAGGTGGAGGTTTTAAGAGGTGATTAGGCCATGAAGGTTAAGCTTCATGAATGAATTAATGCTGTTACTGTTGGCGTAGGTTCGTTATTGTGGGAATAGACTACTGATTACAAAAATGAGTTCTGCTTGATTCTGTCTCATGGGATCACTTCTGCCTGCTGCCCTTCAGCTGTGCAATAATGCAGCAAAGGCCTTTACCAGATGCCAGTGCCATTTCTTGGACTTCCCAGCCTCCAGAACTATGAACCAAATAAACTACCCAGTCTGTGGTATTCTGTTAGAGCAGCAGAAAGTGAACTAATACAGTATTCTTTTCCTTTTTAAGTTGGAATCAAGGTTTGACGCTTAACAGACTGTATTTGGGGGATTTAGATCTCTGAGAGAGAGAGAGAGAGAATGAGAGAAAGAAAGAGAAAGGAAAGAGAGGGAGAGGTGTGAAGGCATAAAAATAGACCAAGCTAACTCTGTTCAACCTCCAAATTCCAAATGTTTCCACAGTGATACATAACTAGCCCATTTTAGCACCTGCTTCTGGAGAGTCAGGCATCTTTCTGGCACTTCTCAAGGAAGGTTCTTGGATGTGGGAAGAGCGGGTGGTGGTGACAGAGTTAGAGGAGGAGGAGGCAGGCACAACAATAAATCTTGGAAATAAATGTCAATGACTGATTTTAGAAGTACAGTCTCTAGGACTCTCTGAGTGAAGAGAGCTTAAAGGGCATTACCAGAGAATAGGCCACAGACAAAGGAGAGGGCAAGTAGGGAGGCTGAGGGGAGCCATGTCTAACAGTGTCCAGGTCCTCTATGTATCATGCCAAGGCCCCAAGTCCAGCACTGGAGGTTCACTCAGAGAATGAACCACTGTGTGAAGAGGCCAATGTTTCCTAACCGGGAATGCTTTATGAAGCAGACAACTTTCATGG